AAAATCTTTAAAAAAAAAAAAAAAGAAGGCAGGAATCATGTCTTTTTCATCATTATCCTTAAAGCCTAGCACCATGGCCAAAAGAAAGTTAGCCTTCAAGTATTTGCTAAAGTATTTCAAAAAGAAAGAAGGAAGGAAGACAGGAAGGGAAAAATGAATCATGGAAGGCAAGGACCTAAATTCTGGAAACAAATTTCTAGAAGGGGAATTATTAGATAAAGGGAGTCTGCACCATGGTGCTGGTGCTTAATAATGAGTTCCTGGAAGAGGAAACAATCTTATTTGATCTGTTCAAATTTTCTACTTCTTCTTGCTTGTTTTGGTAGGTTATTTTTTGGATATCCGTATCGAGAGAAGTTAAGCCACCATTGGAATGTGAGAATGCTTGACGGGAACTTGTTGCCTCTCTTGTTAAATGTGAATATTCTCAGTCTTCAGTTGTAGGCCTCTCACTCCAGGCAAGTTTCTGAAGAGTTAGTTGCCAGAAGCTAAAAGCTAAACTGGAGAGCTATAAAGAAAGTATTGCCAGTTAATTTTTCTTCACTGTTTTGAGAAACAGTGTTTAGGATATGGAAAAAAAACCCCAAAACCCAGCAGCACTATCCACTTCTGAAATAACAGCTCATGTTTAATGTCCATTAAGGAGGGCACGGGATGTAATGAGCACTGGGTATTATATAAGACTGATGAATCACTGAACTCTACCTCTGAAACTAATAATATGCTATATGTTAATTAATTGAATTTAAATTTAAAAAAAGAAAAAATAAAGTAGCAATCTGCCCTAGTAAATAAATAAATAAAATAAAATAATAGCTCATGGTATAATCAAGGAGAATCAACAATTAAAGAAAAAAATTTGTAGAATTAGAAGGGAAATTTGAAAAGTTACATGAAATGAACAGCAATGAAGTTGCAAAGGAAAGTAGGAAACAGAATATCCAGACCCATTTTCTTTTTTTAATTTGTTTTTTAAATTCTGCTATAATATACAGTGTTATATTAGTTTTGGATATACAATATAGTGATTCAACACTTCCATGCATTACTTAGTGCTCATCACAATAAGTGTACCTCTTAATCTCCATCACCTATTTCACTCATTCCCTACTCACCTCCTCTGTGGTTACCATCAGTTTGTTCTCTGTATTTAAGAGTCTGGTTTTTTTTTAAATCTTTTTTTCTTTGTTCATTTGTTTTGCTTCTTAAATTAGACATGAGTCAAACCAAATGGTGTCTTTCTCTGACTGACTTGTTTCATTTAGCATTATACCCTTTAGATCCATCCATGTTGTTGCAAATGGCAAGATTTTGTTCTTTTTTATGGCCAAGTGATACACCATATCTTCTTTATCCATTCATCTATTGATGGGCACTTGGGCTGCTTCTATAATTTGGCTGTTGTAAATAATGCTGTAAACATAGGTGTGCTTATATCCTTTTGAATTAGGGTTTTTGTATTCTTTGGGTAAATCCAGTAGTGCAATTACTGGGTTGTAGGGTAGTTCTGTTTTTAATTTTTTGAGGAATCTCCATACTGTTTTCCAGGGTGGCTGCACCAGTTTGTATTCCCACCAACAGTGTAGGGGGGTTCCTTTTCCCCCCATCCTCACCAACACTTGTGTTTCTTGTGTTTTTGATTTTAGGCATTCTGGCAGGTGTGAGGTGATATCTCATTGTCATTTGATTTGCATTTCCCTGATGATGAGTGATGTTGAGCATCTTTTCATGTGTCTGTTGACCATCTTTGTATGTCTTTTTCAGAGAAATGTCTGTTCATGTCTTCTGTCCATTATTTAATTGGATTTTTTGTTTGGGGTGTTTTTTTTTGTTTGTTTGTTTGGTTTTTTTTTTGGTTTTGAGTTGTATAACTTCTTTATATATTTTGGATACTAACCATTTAGTGGATATATCATTTGCAGATATCTTCTCCCATTCCATAGTAGGTTGTCTTTAGTTTTGTTATTTCCTTTGCTGTGCAGAAGCTTTATATTTTGATGAAGTCCCAATAGCTTATTTTTGCTTTTATTTCCCTTACTTCAGGAGACATATCTAGAAAAATATTGCTACCACCAATGTCAAAAAAATTATTGCCTGTGTTCTCTTCAAGGATTTTTATGGTTTCAGGTCTCACATTTAGGTCTTTAATCCATTTTGAGTTTATTTTTGTGTATGGTGTAAGAAGGTGGTCTAATTTCATTCTTTTGCATATAGCTGTCCTGTTTTCCCAACACGATTTACTGAAGACTGTCTTTTTCCTGTTGTATATTCTTGTCTCCTTTGTTGTAGATTAATTGACCATATAATTGTGGGTTTATTTCTGGGCTGTCTATTCTGTTCTATTGACCTATTCTGTTCTATTGTGTCTGTTTTTGTGCCAGTATCATACTGCTTTGATTACTACAGCTTTGTAGTATACCTTGAAATCTGGGATTATGATACCTCCAATTTTTTTCTTTTTCAAGATTGCTCTGGCTATTTGGGGTCTTTGGGGGTTCCATACAAATTTTAGGATTATTTGTTCTAGTTCTGTGAAAAATGCTGTTGGTTTATTATTATTATTATTATGTTAGTCACCATACTGTTGGTTTTTTTTTTTTTTTAA